CTAAACAAAAGAATTTGGCTTCCAATACTAGTTGGAAGGTCCAACCCTGCCCCAGGAGAGGCTTTTCCCTAGTCTGCCTGTTTTTGGCGAGCATCTGATTGTAATCCTCTTTTCAAAGCATAACCGCCAAGGTTATCTTGAGGAGGCAAATGGCTGAGTACGGTTCTTGAGGTACACACCCCAGCACGTGATGAGAGGAAACAGATAAATCAGTATCAACCAGACTTTGGCAAAGCATTTTGGAATTAACCCTACACTTGGCCATGGCTGTAGGAGTAGCAGTCAAAAGATTAAATACATCTTAATTACATCTCTTTGTAAGACCTTCCTGTTGGGTCAGTCCTACAAATTTGTCTCCTCTACTTTGTGTCGAATACATCCTGAGGCAATTCATCAAAGTGACATAATTGAGGCAGCTCACAAGTCTCTGACTTGGCAAAGCTGTGAAAATGATGCAGAGAACAATGGCCATTATCTGGACACACTGGGAGTGACCAGGACTTGCGAACGCCGTGCTGTGTAAAACATCCTTAATTTAAATAATTAATAAGATGACTTATTTACTTTTCTTAAAATTGATTGCTGTCCACCCTTTTGGATGTTAGCATCCTTCAGCAGTTTGATATTCAGTCAGTTTAAAAGGTTGAAATCAGTTACAGATGCCATCAGATTTATATTCACTAAATGAAATTCCTCCTACACCTTCATTGTTTTATTCTTTTTGACATTTGTTCCAGTCGGCACGTCCAGCAAGGCACTTGCTGTTGGGAGATTTCACAACGAACACACCCATGATCATATTCCCAGACACCACATTAGTAAGAACCCCTCCCCCAGTGTCCTGTGAATGAATCTGTCAGGAGCAGGATCGCTGTGTTACTGTCCCTCTGCTTCTTATCGCCTCTCTGACGCAACTCCTTAAGTGGGAACAGGAGATAAGATGAGTCGGAGGAATGAGATATCACGGGCAGAATTGAGATTTAATTTGCGATGGAATTTCTAAACATATTGTACGATGCTGAGCAGGTAACACTTTGGGAAGCATGAGCCCTCCATCTGGGCAAACAATTGCTCTCTGCCTGCACAAACAATTCCTAATTACCTCTGTCTGATTAAGTGGGGATTTTGAGATGAATCCTAGATGCAAACAGGCCACAGGTGCTTGTCGAGCAGCCGCACATGTTGCAGGCAGAGAGACACAAACATCCACACTGATTGCAACATGCAGCTAGATTTGCTCTGATCTAGAGTCATGATAATTGTCTTTGGATTCTGTAAAAGTGACAAAGATATGTGATCAGGTAATTCTAATATTTTTGTCTCTGTATTTTAGGTCATCTGAGCATTTCTGTCAGTTCAAATGCTGTTTAGTTTCTGTAAATATCTCCAAAGTCAGCGACAAAAAGCCCCACTGACACATTTCCTCATCTCATTTCTTACATATCTGTGAAGATTTTGAAGATTAGCACATCCCAACAGGAGGATCTTAAAGTCTGCATGAAACATGTGAGATGGTCCTGTGCAGGATGTGTTTATCCCTTTTGGAATACATACAAATATGCATGATTAAAGAAACAGCTTGAACGTTCCTTCTTTTATTCAACAATTCCTTTTATTAGAAGCTGACTTCATACATGTCATTCTTGCAGAAATTCTTCTGTGCGTGTTGGCTTTTAAAAACTGAGCCACTCTGATCAAAAGGTGATAAAAATAGCTCAGAGATAAAGGTGACAGAATGCATTGTGTATTGTATTATGCATTACAAAAGAGCTGCGGTGCATTTTTTACCTTCTTTGCATCATACATTCAAGCAAGGAGGCATACCTTCACAAAAGGTGGGAGAGAAAGACTTATCCTATACATGTTCTTTATCTTTGATAAACAGACACTGGAAGCATTTATGATTCCCTTTGACATGAACATTTAAAAAACAAAGACAGGCTTAAAAAGGATTCTTTACTCTTGTGAGAATTAAAGAGCCCAGAGTGAACAGATTTTTGCCGCCATGAGCTTTTTTCTGCCCCTTCTCCCCTACAAAAATACACTTAAGCTGCTTTTGGACAAGCAGACACAGAGTTTGCTTCTTATTTGAGGATGTTTTAGGCAATTTGAAAATGATTAAAAATAGGTTGGATGCTACCGAGAACCATAAGCCAAACTAATCAAACTGAAAAGATAGAAACAGAAAAACAGCCTAAAGCTGAACATAGCAGTGTTTTGCGGAGTAATTTTTAAGGAAACTCAGCTTGTTTTCCTTCAACAGATGTGGGAGCACAACTGCTGGCTTTTGTACATGCAGGGTTTACCAAACATGTGACTTCACAGAACCCCTTGCAATGATAATGTGAAACAATGTCTGAGAAGCGTTTCACATGACAATGTTTTGGGGGAAAAAAAGTGATGGAAAATAGTCTGTTTGAGAGCTTTACCAAACTGAATCCATTACTTTTAATACAAAATGAGAAAATTCAGCAGTGGAGTGAAAGAAGTTCAAATGAGGACCAGAAATCAAAATTAACACAGGGAAAAATCTAAATAAAAACAGCACCGTTAACACCAGACTGGAATACAATTAGCATGCGTGGACATTGGGTATCCAATGCGTTCCCTCTGGCAAATAACAAAAAAAAGAAGTGCAAAATTGTGCGTGTTTTCCTTAAAAGATCCCATTTTCTTCTTTTTCTTTTGGAAGTGCAACAGTGGTGGAAAATATTCTTTCATTTCTGTGACCATTGGTTTGAGAAACTTGTCTTTTTACAGAAACAGAAGTACTGTTAATTCAACCCATTAGTGCAGACAAATAACAAAATGGGGTTATATTTTATTGCCATATTACATAACCACAAATGTTCATACAATTTAAAAATGACCACGTTCCTCGCTGAAAATCTCTGAGATTTACTGTATATCCTCCAAATGTTAACTTTCACCCACTTCCAAGTCCAGGGCACAATCCTTTGGTACTGTCAGTTTAGAAGTGGGTCAGAGCTGTGGAGGGAGGCCGTGGCATTTTCAAAGTTTGTGTCAAAAAAAGGCGATAGACTCCCTGTCATCATTGAGGTGGTTGCCATAGACAACACAGATTTTCCAGATGGGGAAAACATGGATTATTTTTTTCTTCTGCTTCAAACTGCTTTGCTTTACTCCAAGCACCCGATTTGTCCTCTCCTTCTTCGTCTCTTTTTGCTCGGCTACCTCCTGTCTAGGTCTCAGAAGTATTGTCCTGAATGGTTTTCCCTGCAGTCACTACAAGTTAAATAGCACCTTGGTAAAAACAGTCAAGGCTGTGATCCAGTTACCTTTTCTCCAGGTGTTAGACACAGCCTCTTTTATTGAGAGTAAACCGATGCAATTATTCAGTTTGGCAAGCCACATGCACAGCCTATCAGAAAAAAAGTGCTACATGGGCCACTTTGTGGATTGTCGAGCAAATATTTCAAATGGCTATTATACAGACATGAATATACAGTTTATACTGTCCAAAAGAAATGAGATGTGATGAATTTCCTTGCTGCAAAACAGCACCAGAAACAGGAATTTGTGATGCAGCTCTGCACACTGCTCAAGCAGTTACCCTCAGCTTTGATTTACATTTTATTTGAAAGCATTTCTGCATTTAGCAATGGATGTGACTCCAGCATGTGAACATTGTTGAACGAGTATCTGAAATGTTCTGTGGAGAAATCCCATTTCAGGGTTCAATGGCTCTTCTGAAGTTGCCCATCCGGGAAGCCGTGAAATATGTGCTGGTGTAAAGCTTGTCTATTTAATCAATTCTCCTATTTTCAATTACTGACATTACTGCTCTGCATGTTGCTATTTTCCAGCACAAAATGTATTGAATAAGTTTTCGGTTAATCAAAACTGGGGGCAATGAAAGTGGCTGTCTATACATGCATGTATAAATGCGACAGTTTGGGCCCTGAACAGCTCAAAGACAACTTCTACCGAGGCCTTAGTTAATATTTGTCTTCTTTGTTACTTTAAATCTTTGAGAGATTGATGAAAATCTGTTCTGAAATATGTCAAGGAGGTCATCTTTCAATCATCTTTTAATCCTGCTGTTCACAAAAAATGAAACAAATAATAATCAGTCTTTCTCAAAACTTTGCAAGCTTATCATCTGCTTTGTGTTTATTCTCCTGGATTCATTTGCTTTTTAATGCATGTTTTCACGTGTAAAAAGATAACCTTGAATCATTGAAGTATATCTCTATCGGTATTTTGCACTGACAATCTCTATAAATGATTCATTACTAAAGGACCAGGAAAATAAACAAACTTTTCACATTTACAACTTTAAACATAAGCATATAGCAGTTTTTCAGCAGAGCCAGTAATTTTTGTATTTGTTGTCCTGTCAGCACATTTTAGCTTCCTGTATTTTGATGTTCCACTTAGTACATGGCTCCAGAGTACACCTGATCCTAGGCAGGACAGGACTCTGATGTGGGCTGTTCACAGGGCTGCAGCAGCTGAAAGGTATATGAGGTTCTGCGTCTGCCAGCCGGTCACACAGAGAAAATGAGGCTCTGCCATATGGACCACCAGCAGTGGTCTCACACAGCAAGTCAACCTGGTCACTTTACAAATCTGTTCTGCACAGACTGACTCCACCAGCCCGAAGGGATCCCTCCCTGTCTTTCAGATAAGCCAGTACGCAGAGCAATGCAAGCCTTACAACATCCATCAGGCTGATCAACCACATCACTTGTCTTTGCTTGGATTACAACGCTGTACCAGAGGGCTGCAATCCAAACCCTGCTCTCTCAATGTGCAAATATAAAAAAAAAGAAACAAGAAATTACACTTTCTTGTCTGGCTTGTGTTTGCCATCCCTCTGTTTACTGTCTATACTCCTCAGTTTGTTTGGACTAATTGGCATGGATGATTAATTATTATACAACCCATGACAGGCCGTGGTAAATGAGAATTAAAAGACTGGCAGACATTGCATTTCCCAGTTCAGTTGTGCAATAAGCTAAGAAGGATTCATTTACCTTCCACGGTACACTAACTGCTCGATGTTTCTCCCTATGCACTCATTCAAAATCAGCTGGACAGTAAACCTTCTGTGCAGAGGAAAACACAGATAATTGAAAGGGACTCTGGACACACAAAATGCCAAATGTTTAAGCTTCTGTCAGTAAACCATTTGTTATTCGACACATCCCTAACCCTAACCCTCTCTCCATCAGACAATTTTCAGACATTCTTTTTGTTTACGGTTGAGATGATGTAAAACGTGTCGTATTGGTTTTATCCCTGACATTTCTGCTAATTGTTCAAATCACCAGTGATGGGCGGAGATGTCCACCACATTTGTTAGATGCTTCAACTTGTGTGTCATTCGAATTAGATTGTTTTCCGTTCCCCTATGTTTTTAACGTCTGGCGTATTTTGCTTGGAAATAAACTTTTTTTTTTGTTGTACTGATAAATACTGACTTTTATAATCCCATTTATGAATCCACATCCTGTAGAGGAAGACGAAATATGAAATATAAATACAACCTATTTACACCCTCTTTTTAGGAGAGTTTTTTTTACATTTTCAGACTGAAACTCTCCTGCCATCAGAAAAAAAGGAACCATTTGTTATTTTTATACCTAATGAAATATTATAAGCAAAAGAATTCTGATCTGTATTGTTTCATAAAGTTTAAGTGTACACATTTACCTTCTATCCCTCCCACTGTCAATAAGAACAGAGTTTACTGCACCCACCACTTCGAAAAAAATCAATTTCTACACTCTACAGTCACTGGCAAGCTGGAGGAAGACATATGCTCTGTCAGTATCAAATCTAATCAAGTCTGGGGCTCTGTACCTGCTATTCAGGACGCTCCTAATGGCGCTGTTGTTGCTGTTTGCGTGTCAGTACTGGGATGTCTAATGTGTGTGATATGCACAGTTTCACTCTCTGCGCACCACATTACATTTTTCACACAGTAGATAGTCAATAAGTTCTCACCTAATGTCATTCTGTCTCGTCCATTTTCTCATTCACACCGTGATAGCTATCTGTTGCACCCCTTCAGGATTTTGGAGCAAAATGTAATATTCAGTGGATGCACATTCTACCTTCTTGTCTGCTACCACTTTGTCTCTTTTGCTCAGTCTCTTCCTCCCTCTCCATTTCCCTCCGTCTCTAAATAATTACTTAAATGATTCTATTACCGGCCCGGCCCCGGCACAGCATTAACTGAAATGCCAGCTTCTGTGGGGAAGTGCTGCATTCCACTGCAGGAGGAGTGCTCAAGGGGGAGCAAACTGTATAAAGATCCTCCCTTAGATCAGGGAATGTAGTAAGGTGCAGATGCATTTTCATACACTCATTTTCTACATTTGAAGAAAGAGCAAGAGCTCAAACTGGGAAGGAATAATCCCCAACTGAAAGCAGTTGAGAACTCCTTGTTCTTGTTTTGATGCGCACTCAGATCACTTTATTGCTTCAGTATCACAAAGTTCAAGACTCATACTCCACAGTGTGATATGTTCACCACATAACCTCCCAGTGTGGTTTTCTGTTAGAATCCTTCTTAACTTTTGTTTTGTTTCAGACTGAAAAATGACTCCAAATGGCCTGGATTAAAAGGAATGGTCACTGTCAGGCAAACTAATGGAAAGCATTTAGATCTGAGAAACAAAAATAAAACCTAGAACAGGAGAAAAAGAAAGAAGGGAAAAAAAACTTGAGCAGGGCTATGAAAGCAACCTTTTACAAACACACTGTTCTGGGAAAATTCACAAATTCTTGCTTTCAGTCTTTATTTACGTTTCCTGTTACATCCTTACTTTTATGGACTCTGGTTCCTCTTTCTGGGACAGCTGCTGCCCCATCTCTCTGTCATTTGCTGGGCTGGGGAGGAGAAGTTGGAGCTTATATGTGGTTTTGCAAATGCTTAACAGAAAATAGAAGCTATTCACAATTAGACATTGGACAATTTTTTCCTCAGTTTCAAACACAGGGGTCAGTGATGCACACATTGGAATTTATGCTGAATTTAGTTCAGGGACTCAGACGCTGGATTTCACTTTGGCTGATAGAGTAGCTCAAAGCAAAGCAATTAGCAGCTGAAAAATTACCTTCATATGCTTGGAGCAGGGACTGCTCTTTCAGGTCATACTCTTCTCATCTCTGCAAACAAACCAAACAGATGGATATTCTAGAATTTGAACAGTGTTTGTGCAGGTAAAACCCAGTTGGGGTCTACACTTTATTATACTCTCAGGGGCCGAAGCTGGTTATTGTTGAATTTGTGCAAGCTCTTGCAACACTGTCATGCTCTGATTCAGTCAAAGCCTTCAGAATCACATTCAAGAAATTTGAACCTAAGTGCACACAAACACACGTTTGAGACTTTGGAGAAAAGAACAAAGACTCCTTCATGCACGTGTTTGCAATCATTTTTCAAAGATTTTTAAACAATCCACGTCCCCTCCGGAGCAATCCATATTGTCCATATCTCTGTTTGCAAGACATAACATATCATTGAATGTGTCACATTTTATTCAGACGTCAGAAATGGCAAGTAGGACATACAAATGAGGCCGGGATTCACACTGCACACGCAAGCTATCTGGTATGCAACAAACTCTTCTCTTTGCCGCAGACACACAAACATGCATACACATACATTCACGTTCACATTCACGCCCAAAAGCAAGCCTATTGTGAAAGGAAAGCAGGGGCACAGAGCACAGCTAGCTAGCTAACATACATAATGAAAAGTGCAAGCTCTGTCATTTTCTGCAGATAAAAGTGTTCTGATGAGAGCTGGAGACAATAGCAGGGCATTAATCTCCTTGACGTGTTGGGCTTTGGCTTTAAAACACTCACTCCCCCCATTCAGGGGCCCTCCATGCATCTGGAGCGCCGCTCTCTGAAAACATGAGGTCTTCACCCAGCGTCCAGCTGTAAGTGTTTCAAACTAAAACTCACAAGTAAGAAAATAAATTAACCCACAAATATCCACATGTTACATGCTAACTAAATTTAATGCCTTTTATATTTCATACGATTCTTTTTACACATTTTGAGCAGGACTTGTATGCAATTTTTAATACTTGTCTCTTGTAATACTCACAAATGCCGATTCCGCACATAGATTTGAATTTAAGATGCCACAAAGCCATGCTCGGTTCTGATGCCGTCTTGTTTTGCGCTGACATTCATGGCACCAGCCCAGCTGATGGCTGCTGTAAGCTCAGTGTGATGAGTTTGCAAATGCCTTTTATATTTCTGCGTATTTCTTCCTGATATGTTATTTGGGGCAAATCCATCTCAATATAGAAGCCCAGCATACAGTATGCAGAGTTTGCAATATTACATGCAAGTGCTTCATTTTCCTACCTTAAAAGAATCCTCTTTCATATCATCTAAAATATCAAGGTACAGTCTATAGCTTTTTAATAATCTGTTCCCGGGTGATTTATGGCTTGCTGATCTTTACAGCTCAGCAACGCTCGTGGACAATATGATCTGAAGTTTTGACATGCTTACATAGTTCATATCAGATCTTAATAGAAAATCTTCTCAGCGGGTTATTGTAGCTTTTCCTCCTGGCTTCCTCTCAGGTTTATCACTGCTTTGCATATGCTGTTCATCTGCTGAATCAGCAAGGCGCTGATTTGTTTTTGTGCCCTTTAGCTGCACAGCAGAGCTACAGTCATAGTCTTTAGTTAAACTGGGTGCACAATGTTGAAGTGTATTCAGGAAAATTGCAATTTCTTTTTGTTTTTACAATGTATAAAGTTAAACAAGGTTTTCGAAGAGTTTACTGCCCCAGCTTTGTGTGTGAGATTTGAAATCTGAAAGTTGGCAAATTAAATTCCAGGAAGAAAAAGGTGGATACATTAGACTTCTACCAAGTTTTTAAGAGTTTCAAATGTATTCTTTGATCATTCAAATAGATGTATAGATTTTTTTTCTCCCATGAGGCCTTGCCACGAAGGACTCTACAGCAGATGATTTGCTGATTGATTGACTGCAATAGTATTTGATGTTAAGACGCAACATTGAAATGTGTGCAATCAGTTGCCTGATTCTGGCTGGACGGTCAACTATTTAGTGTTTAAACAGGCTGACTGACTAACTTGTAAATAGTATGTGCGTCACAACATAGGTTGAATGACATTACACATGCAGACTTGCAGAAAGGCGTGCATACAGTTGAACCACCTTGTGTTTTCCTTTCTGACTCGCGAAGGCAAAGGGGAGTTCATTGGAAACTCGTAATGTGGCCCCTGACAAGTGCGTCCGACCCGGTTAACGATGACAGAGGAACTTCCCACGCAATCAGCCACTGCATCAGTCTCCCGGCAAGTCGCGGGAAGAGCAGGAAGTTGACTAGGATACGTGTGTCTGTGTGCACGCTGGAAGGGTGATGGCAGACAGCATCTCTTTGTGCACACTTACTGTAAATAAGATGACCTGAAATAAGTTAAATGTGACATGTTCATACAGCATGAGATTGGGCTTTCTGTGTGGTCTTGTCAAGTCATCTAGCTCTTTTCAGAGAATACCAATTAGACTGTCATCATAAGTCCTCGTTTGTGATGCATAAAACGGACATGATAAGTTACAAGCTAAATGGTTTCCTGGTACGATGTCTGGTGCTGTTGGCATAGTTTACCAAATAAATTAGCTTTCCACATATAACTATGCCAGGCAGATGCAGACTTGTGTTACATGCCAGATAAGCTAAAGGAGCACAATATTGGTGATGAAAAAAAGTACAACAGACAACAAAATAGTTTGATTTAATTCCTTGTAGCCAGTGGTCTTGAGGTTCTCCATATTTTTGTCTGGAACATTTTTTTGAGACATTTAGAGTTTTTCTTTGGGCTGTGGCCTCAACATTATTGAAGAAGTGTGGGATCATCTGACAGAGAAGTGAACAAAAGGCAGCTCATATTCAAAGAAGAGCTTTGGGATGTCCTCCAAGAAGCCTGGAGAGCTGCTCCCGAGGACTCCTTAAAGAAAGGACACACAGCTGGTCCACCAGGGCTGAAACCGCCATACTAAAGATTACATTTCAAGCTTATAAGGATTATCTGGTATTGTATTATCTATTAAGAGAGATGTCTGAACATGTTTCAAAAAGCCATCGCAATCATTTGCTGTTTTCCCAGATTCATATAAAAAAGAGGAGTGGAACCGGAATGTTTCCCCTAAACCGTACCTATGGTAAACACAATTCACTCATACAGGGTGCAACAGATCGAGCCACACCTTTTGAATTATTTCTCTTAGATTCAGACAAATCCGCTGTGAGCCAAAATCACTGTTACACTCACATCACATGAACGTTATAATATGCCTGCAAGCTTCCAATGACCGCTGGCAGCGAAAGCAGAAAGTTTGTTTTCACCCGTCTTCAGCTGTCAGCTCACATTTAGAAATCAATCTGAGCAGCCAGTTGGTATGCAGCCTATTGCTGTTTCATAACAGGCTTGTCTTGCTTAGTCAGGCTATTTCTTCCTCCTCTCATCTTTCCTCTGTTTCACTCTCTACTTTCCCATTGTGTTTTTTCTTTCATTTGTGTCTTCCTCCTCTCTTCCCCTCCTACGTTTCCTTTTATCCTGTCACACCTCTTGTTGTGTGTAAGAAGACTCTGGGCTTTTGATCTGATCAAGGGCGATGATGTCAGCAAGCCGTGCATGCCACAGTTCTATGATATATCCATGTGAGTGTTGATATCTCGTTTTTAGTATGCAGCCATGCAGCTGGTGGAGCAGTGTGGCTTGCGTGCGTTATCTGTGCTGCTGTAAGTAATGTTAATAAGAAGAACCAGCCAAAAAATGGTAGAAATAATTAATCATTTGTCAGCTCCAATACAAAGAAAGATCTCTGTGTCAGTAACACACACACTTGCACACACAAATTCCAGCAGTGGCAGTGATATTTAGATACAGCAGGGTGCAGTCGTTTTGTTCTCCGAGCTTTGGATGATTGCGATTGGTGGTGCAGCAGACTTCAAGGCAGTGGATGTCTCCCTGGGGATAAAGCCATGCGACAGTGTGTGCATGTGTGTGTGTGTGTGTGTGTGTGTGTGTGCGTGTGTGCGCAAAAAAAGAGAGCAAGGGCACATGGTGGAATGAGCACATTTATCTACACTGAAGCCTGCCACATGTGTCAAATGTGAATTCTCTGGCCTCTGGTCAGTGTGCACGCAGTGCTTTCAGGATGCTTGTCAGTCTATCATCAGACAGGCATGAGCGCCAGTCTGTTTATCACAGCCTTCTTTTCTTCTCTTTTTCTTTTGGCCAACAGTTTAGGTCTGTGCATAAAAAGAAAACAAGTGCCAAAAGGCGAGTGAGCTATTAGCATAACTGTCATGGTTAATCTCAAAGCAACTTCAAGCAAAAGAACAATGAAAGTGAATTTTTCCCGTGAGATGTAACGCACAAGCCGGGTTTTCGAAATGCTGCTGTTTGAAAGAACAGTCATAAAAGTCAGACGACAGGTTTTTGTTCAGTTGGCAAAACCATAAAATTGGCAAAGGCCGAGCTTCTGAGTCCAAATGTGGAAGCATACTGACATAGGGCATTTGCTTTCTGCCAAAAACACATTGATCCCTCCCTTAGCAGCACAGATTCTGTACTCCAAAACTACTTTGCACATGTTTTTCCTTAATTCAAACTCTTGTAAATCGTATTAATCTTGTTAATAATCTTGTCGATAATTATTTTTCTTTATTTTAATATGATAATAAAATCATTACATCCTCCGGTGAATCACATATAAGTTATGACCATATTTGGTACTTTCATATCATTATATAAACACCAACAAACAAGCAGGTGGACTTTATTAGTTGGACTCATGTCCTATGTAATGAGTGAATCTTCAATGTT